ATTGAAAAATAAAATAAGTAAATTACAGTTATCCGTGTTTTTGAAAACAGTTGAAGCAGATGGATTGATAACACTCGATTTTGTTTTCATTTTCTTCGATTTCTTATTATCCAGATATAATTTTCTTTGTCTTCTTTTCTCTCTTGCTTGCAAATAGTACATATTATGGTTTGTTTCTGCATAAGAAATAAAAGTATATGATATAAAATGTAAAATAAAAAATAATTGAAAGTTGGTTAACATTATATTTTTTTCGTAATAATATATAATGAATAATAATAGTGAACAAAGAAATGTACCTTTGTGACCGTTGTTAACAAATACCGCAGATGATGAATATTCAGTGGTCGATGAAGAAGGCAATGTATTTGCTTTTTCTTGTTATGTCAATATAAATCATATTTATATGTTATTAAATGATCTATTTAGGCGTTAAAATGTTTGTAATAATAAATTTATAAAAAATGTTAAAGAAAAAACGTACCATTGTTAGCTGAAGTAATAACATTTGTAGTGGTTGAAGCTTGTTCGATTGATATAGTGGACAAGTTAATGTTGCTTATATTATCTAAATAAAAACTATTTAATTTTCTACTCTTTTTAGAATTAAACGACTTCATGATATGTCTGCAAAATAAACAAATAATAACAATTAATTTATAAAATAAGATGAAACTTAAAAAATATAATAATTTATCTAAATAAAACCTAATTAATTTGTAAGTCGGTCAATTATTGGTAAATAAAATATAAACAAATAATATTTATATTAAACAAAATATAATATAGAAAATATAAGATATAAAGCAACATGATGATTTTGACATATATTTGCAATATTTTTTTATATAAATAAAACCTAATTAATTTGTAAGTCGGTCAATTATTGGTAAATAAAATATAAACAAATAATATTTATATTAAACAAAATATAATATAGAAAAGATAAGATATAAAGCTACACGATGATTTTGACATAAATTTGCAATATTTTTTATACAAGTTTGTAAGTGGAACCATTCTTATAATTTGGTTGCATTTAAATTTTTTTATATTATTACTAAATAAATTTAAAACATAATTTTTATCATTCTTTTTTTTTCAAAATGTTTTAATCAACCAATACAATAATTCAATTTTATTTAATATTATAGAAATGCATTTACACTTTTGTATTAAAATGAACCGTAAATTAAGAATATATGTATTTATATTATATAGTTTATTTTTATTTATAAATCTTAAATAATAAATTTGTAGCTATAATATCTGTGGTTACAGACAAATTATTCATTTTGGGAAATGGGAAATGTAATCGGCACAAACAGAAGCAATCGTCCTCCCACCCATTTGTAACTTTACCTTTCTGGATTTGAAGGTTAGAGAAATTGGATGAATGATATTTATAAATCCAATATTATTGCCCTAACAAAATCATTATGATTCACCACCCATATTGAAATCGTTATCATCCCGATTACAGTAAGTATCGTTCATTCATGTGTTTAATTTCTAACATTTTGTTTTCATCTATCGATTTCTTATATGTATGTCATCAACCGAAGTCGATTACATGTATATGCTACATATTCATTTGTTTTTTTCTTCCCTCGTTTATCTAGTTCGGGTATCCACTAATATGTATTTAGAATATTTTGCAATTTCATCGTATTCGTTAATTTTTTCTCACAGAAAATAGATTAAAGTAAAAATAAAACTTACCTGTTAATTTTGCAGGAGAATCGATGGAGTAGGAGTGTACACAGAAGAAGACATACAGAGAAGTGGAAAAAAACGTAAAATTATTGAAATAAATTATTGGCTATTTTGAAGACTTTTCAGCAATCAAAACTTCAAAATTTGAAATTTGAAATTTGAAAATGCGATTATTCAGGTGATTATTCATACAGAATATTTATGTACTTAATTAAATTAAGAAAAGATTGATTTTTATTTATGTAAAATATACAAGATTTGGAAATCGACAAATTTGATGATTTTTGTTGATTTCTGAATTTATGTTTTCAATAATGGACCAGCAACGAAAAACATATGTATGAACATATAAATTTGTTTTTTGGAACCTGAACAGGAAAATGATGGTCCAGTGATTGGTGTTGGTACATTTTTTACATCTGAGAAGAAGAGTTATGCAGAAATTGTTGTTGCTACACTGTTTTCGAGGTGTGTTGTTTGTTGTTATGTTCTTTCATCAAGGTAACATATTAAGCCAATTAGTTTAATTGTTGAATATTGTAGTGTTTTTGGTGAGTAAGAAAAGAAATAAAACCATTGCAACAGTTCAACTTTTGTTAGTTTAGTCTTTCAACTTAAGGGCAATATGGTCTTTTTTTAAGTAAATCGGTTACAATAGTGTAAAAATGTCGGTTTTAAACTTGTATAAGTATATGTGTTAAGTAGTTTTCAACTTAGGGGTAATATGGTATCGTTTGGATTAATTTAAGTGTAAAAGGGTAAGATGGTCATTTTAAAACTTGAACAACACTTGTGAATTATAAGCACAATACAGTTAAAGAACATATATATATATATATTTATATATATATATATAAATAAATATAAATCTAAAAGTATATAATTTTACATTTTTTTCTATTAAGTGGATGCTTCTTCAAAACACATTCGTGTATACAACAAAGTGCTACAGTTTGTCCCATTTCATTGACAAAAAAGACCATTTAAAACCGACATTTTGAAATTAAGGTCTCATTATCGTTAAAAAATGTGAATAACATTTGTGAGTTTTAGAAAATATAGAAGATTTTATTATTCAGAATACATAAATAGCAGAATTTTTATTATACATATTGGTTGATTTATTTATTTATCTTAATTATTAACTGCCATATATTCAATACTTTTCTACTTAGGGGCAATATGGTCTTTTTGAAGTAAAAGAAGTGGAAAAGGGTAACATGACAGTTATAAAAAATAAAAAAGTATATCATAGACTATAGTAGAAGTTTTTTTATTCAGAATACTTAAAAAAAAAAAAGTAGAAATAACAATATACATTCAGTTTTTTGTTTTCAAAAAAGTAGAAGTAAATGCAGTGGATAAGGGATAAATGGTTGTTTTAAAACTTATATAACATATTTATCAAATACCTTTCAACTTAGGGGTAATATGGTCTTTTTTGAGTAAATGAAGTGTAAAAGGATAAATGGTCATTTTAAAATTTGTATAATACTTTTCAACTTAAGGGCAATATGCTCTTTTTTTGAGTAAATCGGTTACAAAAGTGCCATTATGTCGGTTTTAAACTTGTATAAGTATATGTGTTAAGTAGTTTTCAACTTAGGGGTAATATGGTATCTTTTGGATTAATTGAAGTGGAAAAGGGTAAGATGGTCATTTTAAAACTTGAACAACAGTTGTGAATTATAAGCACAATACAGTTAAAGAACATACATATATATAGCATTGAAGGTATAATAATATACTGAGTAAATAATTATAAATCTAAAAGTATATCATTTTACATTTTTTTTCTATTAAGTGGATGCTTCTTCCAAACACATTGGTGTATACAACAAAGTGCTGCAGTTTGTCCCATTTCCTTGACAAAAAAGACCGTTTTAAAATCGACATTTTAAAATTAAGGTCACATTATCGTTAAAAAATTTGAATAACATTTGTGAGTTTTAGAAAATATAGCATATTTTATTATTCATAATACATAAATAGCAGAATTTTTATTATACAAATTGATTGATTGATTTATTTGTGTTAATTGTTAACTGCCATATATGATATACTTTTCAACTTAGGGGCAATATGGTCTTTTTGAAGTAAAAGAAGTGGAAAAGGGTAACATGAAAGTTATAAAAAATAAAAATCTATATCACATTATGTATAACAGTTGTGAGGTTTAGAAAGTATAGTTATATATAAGATATTTATAAAGCATTGAAAGTAAAATAATATAATGAGAAAAAAAAATCGAAACCTGTATCATAGATGATAACATAAGTTTTATTATTCAGAATACATAAACAGAAAAAACCAAATAGTATTTTAGTAATTCAATTTGTTGTTTTTGATACTATAATTATAGAGAAACAGCAATGCAGGGGAAATATTAAAATAGTAAAATACATATAGAAGCAGAATTTTTATTATACAGATTGGTTGATTGATTTATTTGTCTTAATTGTTAACTGACATATATGAAATACTTTTCAACTTAGGTGCAATATGATATTTTTGAATTAAAAGAAGTGGAAAAGGGTAACATGACAGTTATAAAAAATAAAAAAGTATATCATAGACTATACTAGAAGTTTTGTTTATTCAGAATACATTGGATACAAAAAAAAGTATAAATAGCAATAAAATTAAGGAGTTTAGTATTGATTTCCTTTTTGATTTTTTGTGTTGTTTTATAATTTTTCATTTATTTTTTATTTTTTGTTTACTATTGAAAGACCAATATTTTTGGCTAGTAAGAGAAGTTGGTGATGTTAAGGTTAGTAGCATAAAACAATATTTATTATTTCATTTTTACTGTCAATATTAAAAAAAAAACAATATAAATGAAGCCAATGAACATATTTTAAGTTTTCTTTCTACCTAGGACATGCTAGAAAACAAAAAAAATAGAATAAGTTAGCATAAAAGCTAAAGTATGTTGGTATCCTTCTAATATGCAATAAGAACATAAAAGAGAATGAAACAGACTTTGTGCAAATAATATGCAGTATATAATTAATACGAATTGACAATTTTTAGATCTTTATGTTTTAAAAAATGAATCAAATTCTGCACATTCAAGTCAAGTGACATGTGATAATTACATAATGAACAAACCAAAAGGAATAAAAGGTAAGAAGAAAATGGGGACCAAAATTAAGATCAACGACGAATATTTTAATAGGGTAGCGTGATTGTTAAGTGAATAATAATTTTGGGATTATATGATGTTCAGAAACGTGAAACAAAATAACATAGTAAATGCCATTAGAGTACTGAAAAAGTTGAGCCAATGTAATATGAAGAAACAAATATGAAAATCATAAAATTCCAATAAATCCAACTTAAAATAAAGAAACTTAAAAATGTAAACGGCTTAGGAGTCTATGATGCTGAAACAAAATTAAGCACGAAGTAATATTGTTTGTAGAAGTAAAGTGCATTTACTTTTCTTTCTTGGGTACCAAAAGAGGGATTGGTTGTTCATCTGGTGGTGACAACCGAAGAGTTTTAGAAGTAGACAAATTCTCCATTTCATCAAGATCTATGCATGTAGCAAGGTTTCTTTTTAATTCGGTTGGTGTAGAAAACAACTTTGTAGGACTTGTTGCAGTTGAGTTGTCCCTAGCACAGGGTGTTAAATTTTCACATGTGTGTGAAAAAGAATCCTACAATAAATTTTAGTTAGTTCTTATACATTAAATTGGAATATTTAAAAATTATATTTAAAAAAGTAGAACCTTCACAACTTTGGTCTCTTGGGAGGCAATATCTGAAGAACCAATAATGAATGAATCATAATTACCAGGGTGCATTATAAGATCAAAAGAAAATGTTATTTTACTCATGTATAATTGGGCCAATGTGGTAAATATATATATATATATATATATATATATATATATATATATATATATTGTTGAAAAAAAACCTGTGAATTCAGATTCTTTTTCTCTAGTTCATCAATTATGTTTGCATTCTCAGTCAATCTTGCTAGTCCATAAATATTACTTTTATTATCCACATTGTAACTCGTGATATCAATTTTAATTGCCAACTTTTTGTCAACAACAAGTTTCAACTCCATTGGATACAAATCCAAACTGATGCCAAGCTAAAATAAAAATAAATATTGTTAGATATTTTGTATGTAAAACATATAATGTATAACATATAGAATATATTAAAAACCATAAAATAATTACCTTCTTGTTTTTATCATACAACTCTTTAGCTGTGTATTTAAACAGCTTCTTTGCTTCTTGATCAAATAAGGTTAAAGTCAAAGTTCCTGTGTTGTCTTGAACCCGAAGTGGGATTTTAAATCTAAATAAAGTATAAAATGATATTATATTAAAAAATTATGATAAACATATATTGTTTTTATATAAAATAAATATGTAATACCTTGGAATAACCGAAATTTTGATATTTTTGCAATTAGGATTAGAACATTCATAAGTAACAATTTCGGCCACTTCATGAGAACCATCAACCTTATCAGTAGAAGACTCTTTTTCTTTTGCTGACTTGTAGCAGTTGCTACAAGCAAGGTAATACCATCGTATGTTTTGACGTATTCCCTTAACAGTACCAACAATAATGACCGTTTTCTCCTTGAAATTAAAAAAATGTGCAATGTGAATAAATGTTAGTATGCAAAAATGCATTATAGTTTCGTTATAACAATATACTTTGGTTGTTTCTTACTAACAATATAGTTTGTTTAAAAATAATGTAAAGTACCTCTAAAGGTTCAAACAAATCATCAATGTTAGAAAACATATGATTTTTGAGAAAGTCATCGTGTTCCGTGTTTTGTTTTGATGCAATCATCTTGATTCCACTTGACGAAAGTTGTTGTCCATTTTCAGAAACCAATCTGTTAATTCATAACAAAAAAATAATTAAATTAAATACATTATGAAAAAAATAAATCTCAAACTACAATGGTCATTATAAATATAAATACTTATTTTTGTAGCTTGTAATCTCATCGATATCATTGTTTATGAACAACCTACTAACATCAAAGTAAGTGGAGGAAAAAGGACGACCTGCAAAAACACTTCTGATTAATTAATTATATATAAAATTTTAAAAAATACGTTTTAAAAATAATTACAAACCATTAATAAACTTCACTCTGGCAAACTGAACAATAACAACAACCGGTGCAAGGCTGTTATTATTAGCCAGAAATTCTGTCATGTAGTATGCATTATGATCCCACAAAGTTACCTTAAGCTTAGTATCCCTGACAAGAATAAAAAAATATTGTAGCTAATATAAAAGAAAGTATATTATTTGTTTGTCATAATGGTAAATACTCTATATCTTGAAGATGCAAGAGCATTTATTGTTTTGATTTATCTTCTTCAGATGTATCCATACACCCATATTCGAATATGTGTCCAGTAATATCTAGAAAAGCAACAAAATAGATTGCTTAAGTTAAAAAAAATTATCAATTTGTAGCAGATAAAAAAGAAAGTAGGATGTTATATAACAAAAGTTAATATTAAATGAACTAACCAAAAGATTTTGACTCCAGGATGTTGTTCGAAATGATTGTATTGAAGTCAACAAAATCAAAGCCGTGTGCAGATCCAGAAAAGTTTTCACACTCTTTCACAGTTGTATCGTGGTAAAAGTTAAGTTTTCTTTCTGGATCAGCAAACTTAAAATTTAAAGTATTTGGTGCGACATTAGGTTTCTTCACATATATCGAACTATCTTCTTTAAGATAGCGTTTGAATTTTGGAAACCATTTTTTCACACAAGATGCATGAATTTTCCTTCCCTAAAAAATAAACAAATAACAAATAATTATATATAATTGTTTATAAATATATACAAATTTTTACAAAAATAATAATTGAATATATACATCATATACCTCCTCATCCATCAAAATCATTTCTATCGAGTATGTTTCTTTTGCATTAAATTTTGACTTTTGAGTCCAAAGATGTATGATTCGAACTTTAATTGTGAAATCATCCTTGATTGAGTCAATTTCCTTTATAGGAGTAATATGTTCCATTGTACCTTGCAATTAAAAAATAATTGTTTTGTTAACAAAAATGTTAAAATATAAAAAGAAAAATCGAAAGCCATTGATTGATTTATTTATTTATTTGTCTTAATTGTTAACTGGCATTTATCAAAACATTTTCAAGTTAGGGGTAATATGGTCGTTTTGGAGTAAACGAAGTGGAAAAGGGTAACATGACAGTTATAAAAAATAAAAAACTATATCATAGACTATAGTAGAAGTTTTATTATTCAAAATACATAAAAAAAAAAAAAAAAGTAGAAATAGCAATACACATTGAATTTTTTGTTATTCAGAATACATAAAAAACCAAATTGATTGTTATAGGTCAGATTTTATTATTCAGAATACATAAATAGCAGATTTTATTATTCAGAATACATAAATAGCAGAATTTTATTATACAAATTGATTGATTGATTTATTTGTCTTAATTGTTAACTGCGATATATCAAATACTTATCAAGTTAAGGGCAATATGGTCTTTTTGAAGTAAAAGAAATGGAAAAGGGTAAGATGACAGTTATAAAAAATAAAAAAGTATATCATACACTATAGTAGAAATTTTTTTATTCAGAATACATAAAAAAAAAAAAAAGTAGAAATAGCAATATACATTCAGTTATTTGTTTTGAAATTAAGGGCATAGATTGATTGATATAGCAGATTTATTATTCAGAATACATAAATAGCAGATTTTATTATTCAGAATACATATATAGTAGAATTTTTATTATACAAATTGATTGATTGATTTATCTGTCTTAATTGTTAACTGCGATATATCAAATACTTATCAAGTTAGGGGCAATATGGTCTTTACATATATAGCAGTATTTTTATTATACAAATTGATTGATTGATTTATTTGTCTTAATTGTTAATTGTGATATATGAAATACTTATTAAGTTAGGGGCAATATGGTCATTTTGAAGTAAAAGAAGTAGAAAAGAGTAAGATGACAGTTATAAGCAATAAAAAACTATATCATAGACTATAGTAGAAATTTTTTTATTCAGAATACATAAAAAACAAAAAAAAAAGTAGAAATAGCAATATAAATTCAGTTATTTGTTTTCAAATCAAGGGCATAGATTGATTGATATAGCACATTTTATTATTCACAATACATAAGTAGCAGATTTTATTATTCAGAATACATAAATAGCAATATACATTCAGTTTTTTGTTTTTAAATTAAGGGCATTATGGTATTTTCTATAGTAAACGAAGTTGATAATGAGGTCACATTATGGTTTAATTATCGTTTAAAAATCTGTATAACAGTTGTGAGGTTTAGAAAGTATAGTTATATATAACATATGTATAAAGCATTGAAAGTAAAATAATATAATGAGAAAAAAATCGAAACCTATATCATAGACTATAACAGAAGTTTTATTATTCAGAATACATAAACAGAAAAAACCAAATAGTATTTTACTAATTCTATTTGTTGTATTTGATACTATAATTATAGAGAAACAGGAATGCAGGGGAAAGAGTAAAATAGTAAAATATATATAGAAGCAGAAATTATATAACATAGAAAGACAGAATAAATATACGTAAGAAAGGTAAACCTGGTTGATTATGCAGTCCAGAAAAAGAAGGCGATTGGTATACGATCGATATATGAAGAACAAAAACAAAACAAATGAGTATAAGATCGATATATGAAGAACAAAATCAAAACAATGTAGTATCCCTTACCAGACGATGAATAATCGACTTATTCGTACTGAAAGAGGAACGTAAAGAGGAACGTAGGTGTTTGTGTATATACATATATTTAAATTCAAATTAGGAAGACTTTGCCTAATTTTTTGGGATTGTTATTTGATTGACTGATTATTTGGGATAGAGATAAAGTTTAGCTCATATTTTATTCCTAATTTGTTGCAGATTAATATGGTATAATTGATAATTAAAATTTTGAAAATCAAATTTGTTGTTTTTGGCGGATTTGCAGTATTGTTTCAACGGAAGGGCAAAGTGGTAATTTCAGTTAACACTATTGAGCGGGAAAATGAAAGGAGTTGGACGCAAGGAGGTTACACGTGGCTGTATTGGTACTGTTTTATTAGTAGAGTAGATATATATATATATATATATATATATATATATATATATATATATATATATATAGTTATAGTTATAGTTATAGTTATAGTTATGATATGAAAGTAATTTATATCATATTTAGTTTATGATATGAGGCTATTACTACATTTGAGTTCATTTTTGTTCTTCATCTCGAGAAAGAAATAATGAAGATCACTGATTTACTTTGTTAAGCTTTACAAAGACAAACTCAAGATATTTATAAATGCATTGAGGTTAGTTGCATCTACCAAATTGTTATTACAAAAAAATGAAAGATAAAGGCTGGGATGGTTTGCTCTCTCTTGTTAAGTCATTTTGTCAGGAACGCAACATTGATATCCCTGATATGTCTTCTCCCTACTTTAGTAGAGGGGCTTGAGCTCGTAACGAGCGTAGTGATCATACACTTGAACATCATTACCGAGTGGATATATTTTACAAAGCAATTAATTGTCAAATAATGGAACTAAATCATCGATTCAACGATAGCTCAACGGAATTGCTTCGACTTTCAACAACTTTAGATTCTAAAAGTCTTCATGAGCCTTTTCGAAGTGGTAATATAATTAAGTTAGTAGATAAGTTTTATCTTGAAGATTTCAATGAACAAGAGAAAACAGTTTTGAAGATACAACTTCAACATTATGAGATTGATGTTGTTCAACATGTAGATTATAAACTATTGACATCTATATCCGAATTGTGTCAATGGTTGATAAAGACTAAAAGAGTAGCGAACTTTCATCTTATTTATCGAGTAGTTAGTCTCATACTTACTCTTCCAGTTTCTACTGCTACAACAGAGAGATCATTTTCAGCAATGAACCTCATTAAAACAAGGTTACGAAATAAAATGGAAGATGAGTTTCTGAATGACTCATTGGTTTTGCACTTTGAAAGAGAACTTACTGAAAAGATTAGTTTAGAGACAATTGTAGAAGATTTTAAATAAGCAAAAAATCGTTGTGTTCCACTTTGATAAACGATTTAACAATCTTTATATTAGTTTTCTTGTTTAAACTTTTGATATGTCATAATTTTGAACTAAATAAAATTTGTTTATATAGTTTAATTATGAAGACTTAATCTCGGCACCCTAGCTATAGTACTTGTGTTCCGCCCCTATTAAAATGTATAAAAATAAAGCCTTAAAATTTTGGAGACTTTGGGCCATCTTCCAAGCTGGTCCATGTATTGGCACAACCCTTGTCATGCAAGAAATTGAAACCACATGACCACCAATATAACAAAAAAAAAAATTGACGACTAAACATGTGAGTTTGAAAAACTACAAGGACCATTTATGTAATTTACTCTAAAATATAAAATAAGAAATGAAAATGATTCATGGTTGTGGAACTGACTCGATACCTTCCCGTGCAGAGTAGTTTCACCGCGTGGTTCCTAAAAAAATCTCTGTCCTCACCCCTTGAACACGATGGACCTGGGCACCTCCACCGCCGGACCTCCTCCGTCGAACAAGAGGAGAAATGTCTTTTCTCCCACAAAAATTCAATCCCTCAGTGACGACATTATTTCTGCGGTTTTCTCGTTCCTTGATCTCGTCCATCTAATTCGCTGCACCGCCGTCTGCAAGTCATGGTAAGCTAACCCCCCTGTTCAGATCCACCTCACAAGAAGCGATACAATATCCGCAAAAAAAAGTTGTTCTTTAATAGAAAACGCATCTTTATCTGCTTTCAATTTCAAGGGTTTGGTTTTCGTATAGGGAAGAGTCTGAGAGCGTGGTTTGAATTTGATGTTAAATTTGACTATAATAGCTGAAGTTGCTAATATCATGAACTTTATCACTCAGAAAAGGTCAAAACCATTATCAATCATCCTCTGGAAATTTTATGCCAAGATGCCCCCTTTTGTCCATGTCGATGGTAATGGTTTTGGTAGGCTCTTCGATTTCTTTTGAATGATATTTCATGCATTCTCAGATTGCCAGTAGTTCTTGTTTAGCTAGTGTGTATTGGTAGCTACTAGCTAGCATATTCTTTGAGTTGTAAATTTTGTTAGATGATGGGGAATGTTGGTATCAAAATCCATATCAATGTTCCGTTTTGAAGAATATGCAATCGACACAAGTTAATTATGAAAGTTTTTGTGGAATACATTCTTCTTGCCAAGATGCTATTAACAAGCATCTTTTCGTTTTTCATAACTTTAAGAATAAGTGTTATTGATTACATGAAACTACTATTATCATAAAGGAGAAAATGCACCCACATGTTTCATAAATTTAAAATCAAGTCTTGTTTTTAATTACTTGAAACTTCATCTTCACCTTACTTTCTTCTCGTATCATTGATTGAAGGAGACAAGTGATTGATAAATCAAATCTACTCCAAACTCTGTGTTACAAGCAAAGAGGGATATTTGGTGGAGATTTTGACATATCTACCCCTTCAGAAGGAATTTGGAGAAGACTTCAGGCCTTAGCTATCAGTCAACATCAGTCTTCTTTACGTGCAGGTTCTATTGATATTTATCAATGGAGAGGTCATTCTAATGGGTAATAAAGTCAATTTACTAATCTATCTTACTTTTGTCACTGTTCATATACTTTCATTGTATTATCTTGCTTTCTATTATTATTATTCTCAAGACATTTCATTATTTATGTTACATTTTACTTCTTTATAGGATTGACAAATGCAAAATGAAGGTGGGACTACTCCTCACTGGTGGAAGTGGTAAGGTATTCAATTTCTGCATCATTTTTCTTTCATATTGTTTTCATATTACATTATGTTAAAGAAATGCTTTCCTTTTATTTATTTATTTATTAATATAAGCATCAGTATTTCCACATTTGCTAGGTGATGCGCCTATGGTCTGTAGAAAGATACAAATGTCTAGCTGAGTATGATCTTCCACATACAGGTTC